GCCAAATGTAAAATGTTCCTATTTGGATTAATTTAATACAGTGAGTTAGGTCTGCTCTATACCAAATTAGCATACCCCCTGAGTCTCTTCCCTGTTTCACACCTGGTAGTTTGGTCGATGGGACCACCATTGGGTCCATCTCCTCTATACCATGTTTCTTGTAGGATGACTCTCTCTCGCTCTCGCTCTCGCTCTCGACTCTCTCTGCAGCCAGACCTCCTCCCCTCCCCCCACATTCATGCTCTGTTAAGATCCTGTACTCTGTGATCCTATACTCTTTTATTTCCCTCCTCTCTCAGTGGAGAAGACCAAGGAAGTTTAGTTTTATGGTTAAGGTTCAGCTTTTGTCAATAAATGTTATGTCCACGGTGAAAATATCACACAATCAATCAACTTTATTTATGGTTTATGGAGTTTTCCCTGGTCATATCACCAGGTCAAGAAAAACTCAGGCCCAATAATAACATAGTTATCTATTATCTATTATATTTTGTATTATTATTCATTGCTTGGCAAACATTTAGTCAAAACGGGATAGATAGGCTTATCAATGGCATGAGCAGTTTTAAGGGAAGAATTGAGTAGAAAATAATTAATTAGGTCAGAAAATTGTACAAATATATATTTTTAAAGACTAACATTGTAATACTGTTATACATGTGCTGTGCTGTCTATCTGACTTTAAAAAAGAAAAAAGTAGAAGAAGAATGTAGAAACAGCCTATTACTCTGATAAAGGCTAGATCATGTAGTCTGACATAACAATTTGGTGATACCCACTCTGTTGATACTACGGTGCACATAGCATTTAAACCAATACAACTAGTATAGTGTGTGGTTGACATAGGCAATGAATGTTATTTATTTGACTATTTCACCCTTCTGCTTAGAGTAGGCTAGGGCTACGCTTGCAAAATGTAGAGCGAGAAAAAAACGTTAACCACAGCATTAAAATGATGTCAGAGGCTACACTGTAGCCCCCCTCATAGCCTTCATTAGCACACAGCAAAACCAAGCGTCAAGATGAGGGAGGTTCCAATATATATTTCCGATCGGCTATTGGCTTCTGTGTCTGTTTGTCACTCATACCTGCTTTTCTATTGGCTATGCTCTTACGGATTTATCAATCCATCTCGGGAAGCTGCTGTGTAATCACAGTGAACTTTCCTACTATAACCTTCCGCTGAAAGGCGTAGTCCTTTAGATCTCTTTTATTTTGAAGAGAACATCATGAACTGTTGACCAACGAACTAACATATGCGGCTGTTACATCAATTTAGTCGTTATATCTTATAGTTTTTATTTTCCTATGAGCAAATAGGTTGTCTTTCAATAGGCTTTGAAATTGGACACCACTGGCTTTGGGGCCCTCATTTCATGCGTAGGGATATGTTGTTGCTTCTGACAATGTGGACGGAGGTGGTGAAGATGTCTACTAGAAGAATGAAATCATCTTAATTGTAACAACAAAAAGGAAGACGTGAGATTAATAACTAGATATTGTTTGGATGCAGACTGGTTACATTGTACTAATGACGTGGGTAGTGTAACAGAGCAAGGTTCAGGAGGAATAAGGAAGACATCTACAGCGATCCAATGCGTTTCACGCGCTGAGGTTGAAATTCTCTTGAAGTTTTATGTTTTTTCCCCCTGCGAGACTCAGCCTTTCTTTTTACTGTTGGATGCCAGACATTTGAAGATTAAAGGTAAAAATGTTTCTGTTTCACACTCGCATATAGTCGGGAAAATTGCACTAATTCATTAGGTACAATGTAGGCCAATTGTAGGACGTATGACTTCTACAATTATCAAAAGTTTTGGGAATGTGTGGTTGGAGCAGGGGGGTGTAAGTTTTTGTCTGGTTTCTAGTAAGGTGGCGAGTTCAGCCATCAAGTGTGTGATGGTCTCCGCACCAACCGTGTAGTGAGGGAAATTAGTCCTTTGTTCACCATAAATATGTTGTAAGGTTATTGTGAATGACACATTTTGATGTGTTTGCCAGTCTCAATTTTCCAATAAAGGAGCCTATTTGATCAGTGGGAATGACGACAAAACTAATTGGCTATAGCCTAAATAATGTTGAGGGGCATTATAAACTTGTGCTTTCATTTGTTCACCCTGCCATTTTAAATGTTCATAACAAATGTAAAGCAAGTAACGAACCTTTCTATAACCACTAATACACAAAACAACCACCCCTTAATGAAAGTGGTTAAGCGGCTGTTCACAGGCTAGACATTAATTTATTTTATTGCACATTTGGCAGGAAATTCCTTATGCTCCCACCTCCCACCATCTCCTTTCTGAACTAACTCAAATGCAAACTGTAACCTTGAGTTGTAAGTTGTCATATTTCAAAAGAAGCAACCTATTTGTTGCATTATTTCAAGGTCTTTCACAGTTATTCAGAGGCCACATTTTTCAGTATCTTTCAGAAGCCTTTTCTTTTCATAAAGGTAATTAATTATTTTAAACTTTGTGTAGCTGGATATTACACTCTAAATTCCACGATATAGAGCATTTGGAACCTGATAATATCCTCCGGCTGAAAAGCGTCCCTTTTCAGTATAGCTATATAGGTCCTAGATGTGGCCTATTATCATTGGAAACGGGTAGCTGACGGAGTAGAATGAGTTTATAATCAGGAATAAATATTTACATTGTTTCAGTCAGGGAAGCTACCAGAAACGATGGGGGGGGGGGGGGGGGAATTAATTGTTACGAAATATCGTTGGACTGAGCAGATTTCTTGTTGATACATTTGCTTCGTTTTCCGTCGATGTTACATTTTAGTTGGCTACGTTGACATTTTATTCTGTTGCTGAGAAGCAACAGTTGAATTTGATTTCTTTCAACTCAAACATAAACAATTTATGTTCGGGGAAAAAACAATTATCCAAAGCTCATATTCTACTTACACTAGTTGTTGATTTGGCTTGAATATGCTCGAAGATTTTGCGAAGTACGTTATCCCAATGTGTTTTATATTGCTGTTAGATCTCAAACATTTGAGGACTATAAAGTCCGTTTTATCAAAGTGTGTGTATATATATATATATATATATATATATATATATATATATATATTGAAGAAGAAAAAACCATGTAAAAAAATGTTTGGTTCCCTTTAGGAATACATTCTATAGGCCTAGTTTTGCACTTGGAGGACGTCTTTCCTTGTCTGTCTCGCATGTGTACAAGGCAACCGTATACTTAATCTGTTGCATCCGAATATTGTTCATACTGTCAGTAGCAAAATATGCAATTCTGCATAACAAAATGTGTGTATCCACAAAGTGACAGCGTCCTTTTTAACTATCGAGACATACCCACAACAATTTGGAACAGTAAATGTTTTTGTGGTTTATGTTTGGCAAGGTTTGTGTATCCTTGGCCTACCACCTTATCGAAAGTCTGGCAAGACAACATTAGGCTTATTTACACTTGGGCCTAGTGTTATATTAGGGCATTACATTTGTTTTATTCAAGGTTAGATCATGTAGGCCTAACCTGCCTTCACAATACAAACACCTATTCCCGATGGATCCTTTGCATGGTATATAGAAATTTTTATGGTAAAATTGGATATCCTTTTGAATGTTTTTTTACACAGCTATTCTCAGCCTTCAAATAATATATTCAAGGTTGAAGATGCTAAAGCGTCATTTGCTGAAACTATAAACACCTAAATTCCTTGATCCCACAGTGTGGTCTTGGCTCTGAGGAATTAGGCCCTATGTGTGTGACAAATATGAAGAAAGTAAGAATAGCTTTCATTTTGCAATTGATGTATTGTTACAAATCTGGTCTTTTACATTTACACCTGAGAAGTTGCATTTATTTTCTGGTTTAAACCCCCAAATGGTTGATTACAACAAATTGCTCTAGTAATGGATTACAAAGAAGGTTGTAAAAGTACACCACCTGTTGGCGCCCTAGTGCTTCTTTCCCGTTGCACTGGCAGTTTTTTTGTGAGGCAGGTACTGCTGCTGTTGAGCATCCAAGCTCTACCCTTTGTGCCTCAGGGGCACATTGGAATGAAAAACACAGGGTAAATCCAGTATTCATGCTTTTTTTTTTTTTCATTTGACAAGGTTCCTCTGCGCTGACATATGGTAATTTGGTAATGACATGTTTGCATACATCCATTAGCTCTGCCTTTCACCCCTATTACCCTGTGCAAACAATAGTCCCAATTATGTCTAATTGTAAACCTAATATACTTTACTTTCATATAGAATTGGATGATTGACGTGCATGTGATTTGTTGTGGAAGCATCAGAAAGGAAGACATGGTCTCAGAGAAGTGATTAGTCTTGCTAAAGGTTGGAGAAGGGATACATAAACTAAGCAGGCCTATATGTTTCACATTTGCAGCCTGTGTAGTGATGCCTCACTGTTAGTAGCTTATTTGGTCGTGCCCAAAGGAGTTGACGACATTCTCTGGTTGTTCTTTAGGTTGTACTTGTTCATATGCACTTATTACCAATTAATGAATGCACTGGCCAAACTTTTAACTCTGTTACAATAAAATAGTGTTGGCCATTTTTCCGGTCTATTGTTTGAACAACAGTGTCCCATATTCCAAAATAGCCTTGGCTTCTCACCCACGTCTGATGACAATTATTACCATGAAAAAGTCAGAGGCGATCAGGAGGCAGTGTTAAGATTGTAGGGCTTCTGGGAAATCATCTAATAAAAGGGGAAGGATCTTTAACTATTAGTCTGGGTACTCGACTTTCGCCAACTCTTTACGCATCCGTGTCCATAGGGAGTGGTAGGTAAGAGTGAATGACAATTCCGAAAAAGCAGTATGTTACCATTTGTGTGTTCATTCATTTTCTCAAGTGATAGAACTCGTGAATTCTTCAGTAATATCTAGCGTGATTTTTTTTTTTAGTCACATTCTATGTGTTTGTACTCTCTCTAGTCTGGTTCCATTAAAAGTCAGTCTATCCTATTTGCGAATCTCTCTCGTAGGGTTGTTAGAGACTGAGGGGCATGAACGAGCAGCCGCAGCAGAGAATGGCTGCAGTGGGAACACAAGACAAGGAACTCAACGACCTCCTGGATTTCAGTGCGGTAAGAGAGAGTGGTCTAGGGGTCTGGGGTCAGGTCAAAAGGGCTGCTGGGCTGGGCCGGATGGGCGGTAGGGCGGAAGCGAGAGAAGCTGAATTGGGAGGGATGGGCCTGTTACATTTCCAATTTAATGACAGCAAAACCGTTAAACAGTTCTCCTTGTTCCCGATTCATTAACAAGTTATACTTTTTCCACATTGCTCCCCCCATGCTTTTTTTTTTATCCTTTAACTTCTGCATGGCAGAAGTAGCTTAATTTCCCCCCAGAAGTCGTTTGATTGGAGAGAGAAATTCTGTTTTACCCCATCCCACATCAAAGCAAGGTCACCTGAATACACCACAGGTCCAAGGTGTTTATTCATTGGGTTTTAAACAAGTCTTTGAACATGAGAAAACATCATCAGCACTAAGGTTGATTTATGGTTTGGGCTGACCTGAATGCTGAAGATTTATTTAGACAAAATGCATTTGATTCCTATGTTTGCAGTTATATTTATTTTTTGCTCCGAGTTTGGTTTATCTTATTTTGTGCACAACCTTGCAATAGTTTGATTGCTGATAATAACTTCCAGGACATTTAAAGGGATGCTCCATACTCTTGAGTGGTTCTGGCACTCTCAAAGTATACACAGATGAAAAACCTCACATCATATTCAACTCAATACATGCTGTGTGGAATGGGATAGCCCTGCATTTATGTCTCTTGAATAGCAGGTCTTTATAAATGGTCAGATTAATAGGATTTGGGGTATGATTTTTTTATCTACTTGCTGGCATCGGCCAGTTTTTGATTCATTTTTACCATATGATTTCTGTCTTTGGCTTTTCAAATCAAATCAAATTTTATTGGTCACATACACATATTTAGCAGATGTCATTGTGGATGTAGTGAAATGCTTGTGTTCCTAGCTCCAACAGTGCAGTAGTATCTAACAATTCACAACAATACACACATCTAAAAGCAAAATAATGGAATTAAGAAAAATATAAATATTAGGACGAGCAATGTCGGAGTGGCATTGACTAAAATACAGTAGAATAGAATACAGTATATACATATGAAATGAGTAAAGCAGAATGTAAACATTAAAGTGACTACTGTTCTATTATTGAGTTGACATTCTCGTCAGTGTTTCTCTCTGAATAAATTGAATAGCCTGAGTAAATTGATTGTTATGGAAAATTATCTTATACGGGAGACATCCATGGATTCAAGACCAGGAATTCTAATTGAGTAAACGCTTGTCATCAGACTTGATGTCCCACATTAATGATATCCCTCCACTAACCACAGCTTACTAATGAGATCTGACCAGGTATTTGATTTCCTCTGCATTATTGAAGCCTTATGATGTGTAACATTGGGAAATTCCATTGGTTTTATTCCCTCTGTCAGTTAAGGGGCCACTAGTGTGTGGAGCATCAACTATCATGCCCTCAATCAAGACCTTGGTTTACTATGCACATCATATGTGTAGCCACCACTCAAATCATAAACACGTCCATGGTCCTATAAGTAGTAGCTATGTATGGAATCTAAACCCACTAGAGACAAAGGCGTGTGTGTGTGTGTGTGTGTGTGTGTGTGTGTGTGTGTGTGTTGTTCTGTGCCAGGATTGGCTGAAAATGCAGCAGTATGGCTGTTGCTGGCCCAGATGCCAAAGAGGCAGAAGCACACAGTGGCTCATGAGATGGCATGTTAAACAAGCACCTGTAACCAGGGATTAGGATAGATCACTCCTAACATCCGTGTCCAGCCCACATTTCATATCACAGATTATCTAGTTTTACTGTATGTTCAATGAAGGTGTATTTATGAATTTATTTCCCACCTCTTCTCTCTTCTAGATGTTTGCACCACCTGTGGCTAATGGGAAGAACAGACCGACGACACTTGCTAGCAGTCAGTTTGGAGGATCAGGTAAGATTCTATTCTGAATGCATAATACTGTAAAACTGTCAAATGCTGAGCCTTGAATATCCTGCAGGACCATACTTAAACTGTATTGAATCAAGCTTTACTTTTTTGATAAGGTCAGTAAGTAATGGAGAATGGTTGTTATGTAGCGGCAAAATTGCAAAAATCTTTTGGTAGTAAGTTGGAAGTACTAGCGTAGTGGTTAGTAGTGCTTTGGTTCTATTGTACATTTACATTTGACATTTTAGTCATTTAGCAGACACTCTTATCCAGAGCGACTTACAGTTAGTGAATGCATACATGTTTTTTTTATTTTTTATAATTTTTATACTGGCCCCCCGTGGGAAACGAACCCACATCCCTGCCAGCCAAACCCTCCCCTACCTTGGACGACGCTGGACCAATTGTGCGCCGCCCATGGGTCATTGTACTATGCCTTTCTTCACCCATGCACTTGGTTATAGAATTAAAGATGCTCTATATATTTTGGATTGACCTCTTACATCCTCTATGTGCGGACAGTATTTCATCAACTTTTAGTGCTGTTAGTAAGTTGGCCAGATCTAGTTACTTTGATCCGAGTTCTTCTCTGGAAACATGCGAGAGCCTGCTCTGTCCCTCCATGTGTTCACATTTCTCCCTTTTGACCCCCTCTTTTTATCTAACCAAGATGATTCATCTGTGCTAAAGCTTCAGGACACTGTTGGTGCCTTTGAACGCTGTGTTGTTGGATGACACTTCTTAAGAAAAGCTTTCTGGAATTCAGCAGAATGTCTTCATTTTTGGTTGTTGAATGAGGCCCAACATGTTTGTTGGTGGGGTGATGAACAAAACTATCTTGGTAACCCTTTTCATTTACAACAATATCTCAATTTAGCAAATTAGATCTATATTTTTTACTTTCAATGCATCTTTTTCTAGCACCAACATACAAACTGGCTTGTGTTTTCCCACCTCGGAACACCTGAAACCCTTGTGTGTGCTAGTAGCTTTTGCTGAATGTTATTAGTAAGTCATGTTCCTTCCCTCCTCTGTCACCCTGCCAACCTGCAGTGTGAAATGGAGTCACACTGCGCGGCCCCCAGAGTGAAAACTCTGCCACAGAGGAACAAAGACGGAAAAGGGCTTACGGACTTGAAACGACTCCCCCACCCCAAAGTGTAAAACACTCCTCCCCCAACTCAGCACAGGACTTTTCCCCCCACTGGTTCACAGGAAATGGCTTGAGCCTGAGACATTGCCCCTCACCCCCAGCTCTGGGGCACTTAACTGGCCCAGCATGGAGCGCTGGCCGGAGTAGGAGCCCTCTGAATGGGGATCAGTGACAGGACTCTGTGTTTGTTTCTATTACAGCAGGCAATTACTTAGCAGTGAGGAGTTAATTCCTGCTCCAGTCCTAAGTGTGCCCCTTGGTCATTGACACCATTCAAATGTGATACTTCAAGCTGTCACATTTAACTTTCAGAGAACTCCAGGTATCTCGTAATAGCACTTGAGTGCCACAGTGCAAACCTCCACAGATGCCAACCTCTAGAGAATATATTTGCGAGTATGATCCAAGCCTATCAATCCGTTGTGCGAAATAAGGGCATCCGTGAACTACAATTCAGGCTTGTCTGTAAGCTACAAAGTATTGCGATGTGATATTCCAAACATATTGCTCACGTCTGCTACAGAGAGACGAGAGAGCATGAGAAAATTTTGTTTTTATCAGTCATGAAATAAAAGTGCTAAAAACATGTTGGCTCAATATTTAAAAAGATGGAGACCAAGTTATAGGATGAAAAACGCCAGTTTTGTCGCAGTTACAGCCGTCTAGCGCTAGTTAACGCTACCTAGTCCAATAAAAGTAAATTTTTACAAATTGATACTTTGCGTCAAAGTATCGCTGTAATAACTTCCAAAATAATATTGAGATGTTAATATCAATTTTTCCCTCCATCAATCTCCTTGTTATAAAATCTGATATACAGTGCCTTCAGAAAGTATTCATACTCCTTGACTTATTCCATATTTGTTGTTACAGCCTGAATTCAAAATTGAATACTTTTCTCTCACCCAGTTACACACAATACACCATAATGACAAAGTGAAACATGTTTTTAGAAATTTTAGCAAATGTATTGAAAATAAAATACAGAAATATCTAATTTACATATGTATTGCCACCCCTGAGTCAATACTTTGTAGAAGCTCCTTTGGCAGCGATTACGACTGTGAGTCTTTCTGGGTAAATCTCTAAGAGCTTTCCACACCTGGATTGTGCAACATTTGCCAATTTATTCTTTTCAAAATTCTTCAAGGTCTGTCATTGTTTGTTGATCATTGCTAGACATCATTTTCAGGTCTTGCCATAGATTTTCAAGTAGATTTAAGTCAAAACTGTAACTCGGACACTCAGGAACATTCACTGTCTTCTTGGTAAGCAACTCCTGTGTAGATTTTGCCTTGTGTTTTAGGTTATTGTCCTGCTGAAAGGTGAATTCATCTCCCAGTGTCTGGTGGAAAGCAGACTGAAACAGGTTTTGCCGGTGCTTAGCGACTCCCCAGTCCTTAACAATTACAAGCATACCCATAACTTGATGCAGCCAGCACTATGCTTGAAAATATTGAGAGTGGTACTCAGTAATGTTTTGGGCAAATCCAACACAACACATAACGCTTTGTATTCAGGACATAACGTTCATTTCATTTTTTGCAGTATTACTTTAGTGCCTTGTTGCAAACAGGATGCATGTTTTGGAATATTTGTATTCTGTACAGGCTCCTTTTCCTTCTGTCAATTAGGTTAGTATTGTGTAGTAACTACAATGTTGTTGATCCATCCTCAGTTTTCTCCTATCACAGCCATTAAACTCTGTAACTGTGTGAATGTCACAATTGGCCTCATGGTGAAATCCCTGAGCGGTTTCCTTCCTCTCCGGCAACTGAGTTAGAAAGGACGCCTGTATCTTTGTAGTGACTGGATGTATTGATACACCATTCAAAGTGTAATTAATAACTTCACCATGCTCAAAGAGATATTCAATGTCAGCTTTTTTTAAAACCAATATACCAATAGGTGCCCTTCTTTGCGAGGCATTTGAAAACCTCACTGATCTTTGTAGTTGAATCTGTGTTTGAAATTCACTGCTTGACTGAGGGACCTTACATATTGTACAGTGAGGGGAAAAAAGTATTTGATCCCCTGCTGATTTTGTACGTTTGCCCACTGACAAAGAAATGATCAGTCTATAATTTTAATGGTAGGTTTATTTGAACAGTGACACAATAACAACAACAAAATCCAGAAGAACGCATGTTAAACATTTTATAAATTGATTTGCATTTTAATGAGGGAAATAAGTATTTGACCCCCTCTCAATCAGAAAGATTTCTGGCTCCCAGTTGTCTTTTATACAGGTAACGAGCTGAGATTAGGAGCACACTCTTAAAGGGAATGCTCCTAATCTCAGCTTGTTACCTGTATAAAATACATCTGTCCACAGAAGCAATCAATCAATCAGATTCCAAACTCTCCACCATGGCCAAGACCAATGAGCTCTCCAAGGATGTCAGGGACAAGATTGTAGACCTACACAAGGCTGGAATGGGCTACAAGACCATCGCCAAGCAGCTTGGTGAGAAGGTGACAACAGTTGGTGCGATTATTCACAAATGGAAGAAACACAAAAGAACTGTCAATCTCCCTCGGCCTTGGGCTCCATGCAAGATCTCACCTCGTGGAGTTGCAATGATCATGAGAACGGAGAGGAATCAGCCCAGAACTACACGGGAGGATCTTGTCAATGATCTCAAGGCAGCTGGGACCATAGTCACCAATAAAACAATTGGTAACACAGTACACCGTGAAGGACTGAAATCCTGCAGCGCCCGCAAGGTCCCCCTGCTCAAGAAAGCACATATACATGCCAGTCTGAAGTTTGCCAATGAACATCTGAATGATTCAGAGGAGAACTGGCTGAAAGTGTTGTGGTCAGATGAGACCAAAATTGAGCTCTTTGGCATCAACTCAACTCGCCGTGTTTGGAGGAGGAGGAATGCTGCCTATGACCCCAAGAACACCATCCCCACCGTCAAACATGGAGGTGGAAACATTATGCTTGGTGTTTTTCTGCTAAGGGGACAGGGCAACTTCACCACATCAAAGAGACGATGGACGGGGCCATGTACCGTCAAATCTTGGGTGAGAACCTCCTTCCCTCAGCCAGGGCATTGAAAATGGGTCGTGGATGGATATTCCAGCATGACAAACATGGCCAAGGCAACAAAGGAGTGGCTCAAGAAGAAGCATATTAAGGTCCAAGGGTTTTGCCACCAAGTCCTAAGTCATGTTTTGCAGAGGGGTCAAATACTTTTTTCCCTTATTAAAATGCAAATCAATTTATAACATTTTTGATATGCGTTTTTCTGGATTTTTTGTTTTGTTATTCTGTCTCTCACTGTTCAAATAAACCTACCATTTAAAATGATAGACTGATCATTTCTTTGTCAGTGGGCAAACGTACAAAATCAGCAGGGGATCAAATAATTTTTTCCCTCACTGTATGTGTATGCGTGGTTTACAGAGATGAGGTAGTCATAAAAAAAATCATGTTAAACACTATTGCAAACGAGTGAGTCCTTGAGACTTAAGCACATTTTTACTCCTGAACTTATTTAGAATTATCATAACAATGGGGTTGAATACTTATTGACTCAAGACATTTCAGCTTTTCATTGTTAATTAATTTGTTTAAAACATCTAAAAACATTATTCCACTTTGAGATTATGGGGTATTGTGTGTAAGCCAATTTTAAATTCAGGCTGTAACACAACCACGTGAAACAGTCAAGGGGTGTGAATACTTTCTGAAGGCACTGTACAATCAAAGGGCTGTAGCCTCAATACAGGGCTAAACTTACATACTTTAGCAGTTTTACATCAGTTTTTCTCCTGAGGGGGGTGGACTTCTATTAAAGTAGGCAATGTTTGTGATACATATGAACATTTTCCCATGATATTTCCCCACCTCTTCCACTTTTTCCTGAAATGACAACTTGATTTGATTTGTAAGGATGTGTAGAGGCACATTACCTCATAACGTCAAAGTGGAATGTTTTTTGACATTTTTACAAATTAATTAAAAATGAAAACCTGAAGTGTCTTGAGTCAATAAGTATTCAACTCCTTTGTTATGGCAAGCCTAAATAAGTTCAGGAGTGAACATTTGCTTAACAAGTCTCATAAGTTGCAGGGAGTCTCTTGTGTGCAATAATAGTGTTTTTAACATGATATTTTTTACTTCTGTCATCCATTATGATAGGATCACATGGCCATAACAAAGAGCAGCCTGTTTGTTCTTTATTGTTCTCCTGGTAACTTGGGTCAACTTCCTGTTTGGCTGGCCCAACTGTATCCCGTGACATCACGGCTTCAGTGTACCACTGCTAGTAGATGACCCAGCGCGGGAAAGGCAGAGCCGGAGCTATTCACCAACACAAAAGTACTCAGAGGGGTGCTAATTGCGAGGGGAGCTGGGGCTGTGGGAGCAGTCACACCCGCAGGGCTCTACCAGGCGTCCCCTCACTCACCTCTGCAGCTGCTGGCCCCGTCACCCAGCCACCCACACACCCACCCAAGACAGGCCACATTTCCCCCCCAACCACAACAAACAACCCTCTTTCACACGCACAGACAAATGCTCGTACACACACTCCCACACAAATATTTTTTCAGATTATTGTCATAGGATGCTTGTCACCTTATGATCTGAACAGCCAACTTCTATCCAATATGCCCTATAATGCTGGCACTAGAAAATGGCTGATCTACTAGGCCTATATCTTGTGGTTTTAAGACGTACGCAAGAAACAATCCAGGCTGCCTTTTAGAGGCATGTTACATTTCGCCCTGTGAGAAGGTTTTGTGCCTCAAAATCTGATTATTTCTTCAGCGGCTGGCTGCTCCTGTACAGTGTTAGTATTGCCCTCATGGCCTTCACTAGACTCTCATTACTGAATCAGGTTATAAAGTTGAGGCGCAATGTTTCAACAGGTAGAAAGTGTGAGAAGAGAATGCAATCACACTTATAACAGCATTACACATAAACAATGAAGTTAATACAGTGGGGGAAAAAAGTATTTAGTCAGCCACCAATTGTGCAAGTTCTCCCACTTAAAAAGATGAGAGAGGCCTGTAATTTTCATCATAGGTACACGTCAACTATGACAGACAAATTGAGGAAAAAAATCCAGAAAATCACATTGTAGGATTGTTAATGAATTTATTTGCAAATTATGGTGGAAAATACGTATTTGGTCAATAACAAACAAGCAGGATTTCTGGCTTTCACAGACCTGTAACTTCTTCTTTAAGAGGCTCCTCTGTCCTTCACTCGTTACCTGTATTAATGGCACCTGTTTGAACTTGTTATCAGTATAAAAGACACCTGTCCACAACCTCAAACAGTCACACTCCAAACTCCACTATGGCCAAGACCAAAGAGCTGTCAAAGGACACCAGAAACAAAATTGTAGACCTGCACCAGGCTGGGAAGACTGAATCTGCAATAGGTAAGCAGCTTGGTCTGAATAAATCAACTGTGGGAGCAATTATTAGGAAATGGAAGACATACAAGACCACTGATAATCTCCCTCGATCTGGGGCTCCACGCAAGATCTCACCCCGTGGGGTCAAAATGATCACAAGAACGGTGAGCAAAAATCCCAGAACCACACGGGGGGACCAAGTGAATGACCTGCAGAGAGCTGGGACCAAAGTAACAAAGCCTACCATCAGTAACACACTACGCCGCCAGGGACTCAAATCCTGCAGTGCCAGACGTGTCCCCCTGCTTAAGCCAGTACATGTCCAGGCCCGTCTGAAGTTTGCTAGAGTGCATTTGGATGATCCAGAAGAGGATTGGGAGAATGTCATATGGTCAGATGAAACCAAAATATAACTTTTTGGTAAAAACTCAACTCGTCGTGTTTGGAGGACAAAGAATGCTGAGTTGCATCCAAAGAACACCATACCTACTGTGAAGCATGGGGGTGGAAACATCATGCTTTGGGGCTGTTTTTCTGCAAAGGGACCAGGACGACTGATCCGTGTAAAGGAAAGAATGAATGGGGCCATGTATCGTGAGATTTTGAGTGAAAACCTCCTTCCATCAGCAAGGACATTGAAGATGAAACGTGGCTGGGTCTTTCAGCATGACAATGATCCCAAACACACCGCCCGGGCAACGAAGGAGTGGCTTCGTAAGAAGCATTTCAAGGTCCTGGAGTGGCCTAGCCAGTCTCCAGATCTCAACCCCATAGAAAATCTTTGGAGGGAGTTGAAAGTCTGTGTTGCCCAGCGACAGCCCCAAAACATCACTGCTCTAGAGGAGATCTGCATGGAGGAATGGGCCAAAATACCAGCAACAGTGTGTGAAAACCTTGTGAAGACTTACAGAAACCGTTTGACCTGTGTCATTGCCAACAAAGGGTATATAACAAAGTATTGAGAAACTTTTGTTATTGACCAAATACTTATTTTCCACCATCATTTGCAAATACATTCATTAAAAATCCTACTATGTGATTTTCTGGAATTTTCTTTCTCATTTTGTCTGTCATAGTTGACGTGTACCTATGATGAAAATTACAGGCCTCTCTCATCTTTTTAAGTGGGAGAACTTGCACAATTGGTGGCTGACTAAATACTTTTTTTCCCCACTCATCATCACACTTATAACAGCATTACACATAAACAATGAAGTGAATATATTCTTCAAAAGAATGAAGAATGAACTTGGAACAATGACGTCTGTCCTCTCTTGTCCCACACCCCTGTCCTTCTCTCCCCCCCGTGCCTTTTACTCCCTCTGTTCCTCCAGTCGTTCACCCCGTCCTTCTCTCCTCCCCGTGCCTTTTACTCCCTCTGTTCCTCCAGTCGTTCACCCTGTCCTTCTCTCCTCCCCGTGCCTTTTACTCCCTCTGTTCCTCCAGTCGTTCACCCCGTCCTTCTCTCCTCCCCGTGCCTTTTACTCCCTCTGTTCCTCCAGTCGTTCACCCCGTCCTTCTCTCCTCCCCGTGCCTTTTACTCCCTCTGTTCCTCCAGTCGTTCACCCTGTCCTTCTCTCCTCCCCGTGCCTTTTACTCCCTCTGTTCCTCCAGTCGTTCACCCCGTCCTTCTCTCCTCCCCGTGCCTTTTACTCCCTCTGTTCCTCCAGTCGTTCACCCTGTCCTTCTCTCCTCCCCGTGCCTTTTACTCCCTCTGTTCCTCCAGTCGTTCACCCCGTCCTTCTCTCCTCCCCGTGCCTTTTACTCCCTCTGTTCCTCCAGTCGTTCACCCTGTCCTTCTCTCCTCCCCGTGCCTTTTACTCCCTCTGTTCCTCCAGTCGTTCACCCCGTCCTTCTCTCCTCCCCGTGCTTTTTACTCCCTCTGTTTCTTCAGTCGTTTACACATCCCTCTCTCCTCTCCTCCACCTCTCTCGTCTGTTTCTCCTCCCCTCTTCCTGTCCCCCTCTCCTCCTTTCCTTCAGTCCTTTACCCCTGTCATCCCCTCCTCCATTGTGGCAGTAGGCTCCTCAGTGTTTGGCTCTCACTTCTTAACATGGCTGGCTGTGTCATTGTCACCTCAGCAGCTCCCCACCTGGTTTAATTGCCTTTTGAGTTAATTACTCCACAAAGTGTGGAACAATGTTGTCAGAGTTGTCCTCGGTATGGCGATGCTATCTCAGACAGTACCCACTCGCCAAATGGAGGACCTTTTTTAAGTGGCGTAGGTCTAGGTGGGTACCAAATACTATTATTGAGTGGCTGCTGGACCAAAGCCATTGTAGACTCTGGATAATAGAGACGGCTTGTTTTATAGACCTGGTGTTCCTCTTATGTGGATTTGATCGTGTCTCAGTATTGAGTGAACTAACTCTGCCAGCAAGGCTGTTTAGATGAAGTGGTGTCCATGTAAAGCCTGTCTCACATATTTAGTTGTGTCCATCAGTCCTGTGTGCTGTTGTGACTATTTGTAGCTGTGTTAGCAGTGTGGCCTTTCAGCCCACTGACAGTGAGTGAGTAAGGCTGATCTTTGGAGGTCCTGCTCCCCTGCTTCTCCATGCCAGTGGCATCAGGTCCATAGATCATGGCTGTCATAGCGTGTGTAGGTGCTTGCACCGCTCTGTTAGCCTCATCAGTCATTTTCACTCGTCAGCCGCTCATCTCGCCCAGACCCCCTCTCCCTCCCTCTCTCCCCTCACACTCTCTCTCTCTCACGCACACATTTGTTTAATTATGCAGAAATCAAAGGAGAAATATGAATATTCATAAGGAAACCACATTAATATGCACAATTATGCAAATTAGTATGCAATTAAGCCCTGTGTCTCCAGAGAGGCTTGGTAGCATTAACGGATACGACTATGGGAGAAGGGGGTATTTGGAATTTCTGCTCCGCCAATCTTTAGAATGCTTGTTTTTCCTATGCCACAGACGCCACTTGTGAAATAATTAAACATATTCATATACGTTTTGTGTACTGAATATGTATGTTATTGGTTGTTTTATGGCTTAGCGTATAATGGCATCTGCAAAACTGCTGTGGAATGAATTGCAATGAGAAGCTGGACAATGACATATTCTGTTATGGTTTGGTTTCTCAGCCAATCAGTGAAATGACCCCTCTATTTTTCACATGGACATGTAGGGATAGTTCACCCAAATGTTCAAATACATATTGGTTTCCTTACCCTACCTTAAATAGTCTCTGCATAGATATTTGGGATAGAGTTTTCCACAAACACTGTAAACAGTCTATGGACAAGGTATGACAGCAATCCATGCTTTGGTTTAGTTTCCCTGGCACTGTTTCCACATGCTAACATTTTAGCATTCGTGGCACAAATCCCATTCAAGTCATGGGACCAATATTAGCATTTTTCGTGCATCATGTTCAAAACCTCGAAGTGACTTTGAACTTCACAATCATTTTTGAATACTTTCGGATGATTTGGACCTGATGCGCAAAGAATGCTAATATCGGTCCCCTGACCTGAAATGGGATTTGTGCCACAAATGCTAAAACGTTAGCATGTGGAAACAGTGCCAGGGAAACTAAACCAAAGCATGGATTGCTGTCATACCTTGTCTATAGACTGTTTACAGGGTAAAGAAACCAATGTAATTTTGTAATTTGGGTGAACTATCCCTTTACATTTTTACATTTTAGCAGACGCTCTTATCCAGAGCGACTTACAGTTAGTGAGTGCATACATTTTCATACTGGCCCCCCGTGGGAATCGAACCCACAACCCTGGCATTGCAAGGGCCATGCTCTACCAACTGAGCTACACAGGGCCTTTAATGCAACAATGACAGATTCTCTTAAAGATGACCTGTTGTCCCAGTGGCTTTGCCATTAAACCAATTAAGACCTGTGAATGACATACATTGGCTCAGGGGCCTTGCAGTGCTGACAAGATCACCTGAGTGATGGGATGCTAGCATTAGGCTAGCTTGTATTATGGCTACATGCCTACAGATAGGTTTGAGCTAAAGGACCCTACCCCTAACTTCACTGTTGGTCGATGGTATTGCCCTGCGGCCACTCGATCCCACCGCTGACACCAAATGAACACTTGCGCTAGGACTAGGAAGGAGGAAAATGCCCACAGTCATTGTATCTTGCTGGTCTTAGTATAATTAGTCCGGATCTAGTAGTTTATGATGGAAGTAGTCTTTTCCGTGGTCCACCCAACCTAATGTGTGTTTTTATAGCTGTCTGTCTATAGCAGTCAGTGAGTAACCTCGCCATTTCTCTCTTCCAGCTCTGGACGAGCGCAGTGGCTCTGGATCCTGGGGCCCTGGAGAACAGAACAGCCCCTCCTTCAACCATGGACGGGTAAGCATTACCAGGGACTCCTCACAAGCTCTCAACCTCTGTCTCTCTCACTCACAAACAAACAAACAAACACACACACACACACACACACACACTCTCGACAACAGCTCAGTGCGTTGGCAAACTTTTGATTCAGACTGGTAGTTTTTACTTTGTACCTAATGGCTTGGCTCAGAGTCAGGCGTTGGCAGGCTCTGCACTAGGCTTTACGTCAGTGGAAGCCCAACGGTAATTGCGGCTTCACAGCCACGGTAACTGTCTTGGCTCATTTCGGTGTAAATATAAGGAACGGGGGTACAGGGGGTGAAGATTGGTTGCAGCAAACTGTGATTATTGATTAACCACAACTTGATGATTAAGAAATTGCTAGAGACTGGATTCTGCACATTTCCTGAGCTCACATGATAGTTTACAGACTGGGATGAACCAGTGCACTGGCCATGGCATGGAAGGACTTCAGTGAACTCTGCCGACTTGGACTCTAGTCCTCATCATGTATTCTTCCTCTGTGTGTTTTCCCACAGGGCTACGGAGATGGCTCTCACTACAATGAGCATGAGGGCCTGTCATCCCCCTTCCTCAGCTCAGGAATCGGAGGTAGGCTACGCTCAGTCTGCTGGCTTGTCACTTTGTGTCTATCACTGTTGTAATGCAGTGGTTCCCAACCTTTTTCACTTACTGTACCACCAACTGAATTTTGTTCTGCCCTGATACCCCTGAAGTACCCCCCTCGTGCATTTTACCAGGCCTATGGTCTCATGAGTCTTTTCAAGTACCCCCTGTGGATAGGCCAAGTACCCCCAGGGGTCCTAGTACCCCTGGTTGGTAACCACTGTTGTAATGGGGATAGGTTGTAAATAAGTAGCAGAGGTTACTGTTGGTGTGCACGTATTTTGTTATGACCATAAAATTGTTATCTGAGTGACAAAGTGCCAGGAACTGTGTGTGGTGTGTGTGTGTGTGTGTGTGTGTGTGTGTGTGTGTGTGTGTGTGTGTGTGTAATGTGTATTTAGTGGGTGCTGGGGATGTTAAGAGCACTGAAGCAGAAACGCTCCCTTGGGGTTTGTCTGGCTAGCAGCTTCACTGCAGCCGAGTGCTCTGAAAGGGGGAGGCCACTTTTATCACGACTTTTGTATTTTAAACGGCTACTAGTAATTTGGACCTTTTTGTCATTTTGAAAAAATACTCCAAATTCCCAACGTGTAACTTCCATTCCATAAGGAACCCGCTAATTGTCAATTTCGTCTTGCAGGTAAAAATGAGAGGGTACCATACTCTTCGTTTGGAGGCCAGGTAAGAGTGCCGCTGACCCCTTTGCATAGACCCTGTTATGGTAATAGTTTAGGTTGCCCACGTCACCAATTCTAACTTGATTTGAGCTAAATTCATAGTCCGGTTTCAGTATAAAGAAGACCCTGTTTTCTCACTTCTCCTTTCATCTGAAACACATTGAATTAGAGCGTTGTGGATTTCCCAGAACTGTGCATTCATGTGTGTTTTTGTATGCATTCCTGCATGTGTTGTTTGTTAACCCCTTGCTCTTTGTGTTGTTCTGCCAGCCTGGCTTCCTACCCAGTGACATCGCCATGCCCAGTCCAGATGCCATGTCCCCCTCTGGGCTAAAGTCTGCCTCTCAGTTCTACCCCGGATCGTACCCCAACAATCCCAGGAGGAGGCCTCCCGATGGCCAGCTAGGTAAGAGAGATGGATTCGGAAAAAGCTTTAGTTCTTTGTAGAAATGTTTTTCAGTCTCTTGCCTTTTATGTCAGATTATAGAACAAGAAGTTGTCTCAGCCAAATATGTGTAGCTTTAACCTTTTTAACTGGGTGAAAACGCTAACGATACACAATACTACCGTCAATATGGTCAAATAATATTTTATTTTCAAACTAGACACTAAGGGCTCTATTTTAACAAACCTAACACAATGGTAGATCTTAGCGGTAGCGCTATAGGTCTGGGGGGTGTCAGAAATATTTGCTATTTTCACAGCAGGAATTATGAGCGCAATAACTGATGGTGCCGCGAAAGGAATGGGTTTTGATGAATAAATTAATTGTAGGTGTGACAAGGGCTTGGCCACTCACTGGCCAATCAACGCTTTTCATGGCTTAATACTGCATGCTGTTGTCTCAAGTTCTGTAGGTTATTGATGGTCTTTGCGTTGTCATCAACTCCAATTCGGCTGGAGGCACGGAATATTCTCATCTTAGTCCATTGTGGATTGATACTACAGTTGATTAAATAGCATAGGCTACAGAAACTAGTAATAACAACAGTTAAAAAAATTAAAATACATTCAGTGTTTGCTCAATGTGTTTGGAGTGTTGACAGAATATTGTTGTAATTGGCTTCAACGAGTATAGGCCTTTATGCATCGCTCTTCATTCTTTAAAAATATATATACTAGGCTCCCGTAAATTATATTGTATGTGTGAGGCACGTTCTCAATAAGCAAGATATAGCCTAGGCCTACCGTTGATATTGCGTTATAGGACTGAATAATTTGAATATGTTTGGAAATGTGCGTCTTTGGTAACTGGACAGGAGGCGCTCTTTGGAAATGGGGATGGATACAACCCGAATGGAGTATGCACTGCAGGTAGGCCTATGTGAATAATACAAAAGCAAAAGCCTCAGGAGTAGACCATTTTAGTAACCTTTTATGGATAGGCTACTTGGCTAATGCATGGCCAGGAGAAGACACCAACTCATTGCTGTTGAACCTGCTTTAGTTACAGTAGGGTAAGGGTTTCCTACTGAGGACTTGTTTTGTTTTCAAATGGAATGGAAAACAAGCAATTGTTACAGGAAAATAACTTGAATGTTTCTAAATACGAGGGTCACCGGCGTCATCTCCTCTCTCGTTCCATGATGGGCATATGGACATGTAGCCTACATGGAGTTTGTTTTACGCACATCCAAAATAATAACAGGAGCTGTCTAAAATAACATACAATACATAGATAAAAGGGGATTTCCTCACTGTTTTGCTGCTCCCAAACATGATCTTTTAATAAAGCTTTGGTGATTAAGATTTATTTCAAAGTGGTGTAACGAGCCAAACCCTTTATCGATAGTCATGACTATTGGCGAATGCGTTGGGAAGGACAAAAAAACCTGCCTTAATCAAATGAAACAAAGTGGGAAAATACAGTAGTTTTTTATGTTTCTAAATACGAGGTTTACGGGAACAAAAAGCATATTTTTGTTGTACCATGTGCATATGGGCACAGTGTGGCACGGCTGGACAGGCTGCTTCCGCTGTCAAAATCCATGCCATAACAACCGCGTTACTGCTAAGGCCAGGTCTTGGTTGGTCTTAAATATCCCCACCCACCAGCGCTGTCTGAAATTGGCACTTTGGCGCATGTTTTTAAGGATGCGCCTCAGATATTGCCACCCCTCCCACCTCGGCGCAAGCGAGCTCATGTAAGACAGGTAAATTACCAATCCTGGCGCAAGGGCTGGAAAATAGTAGAGCGCCGGCTTTAACCGGTCGAAATTGCCAACGAGCGTGCGTTTGACAATTGCGCTGTCTTAACACCAGCTGAAAATAGATCCCTAACAGTCAACCTTTATGAAGCGTGCTATCAGATTTACCTTCTCTGTCTCCCTGTAGACACCCAACCGAAGAAGATCCGGAAACCCCCTGGCCTGCCTTCCTCGGTGAGTGTTCATTCTGCTCCCCTTCAGACAGCCAGACAGTCTCCCCACACTAACACTCACCACTCTGCTCTAGACAGACAGACAGACAGACAGACACAGAGACAGACAGACAGACAGACAGACAGACAGACAGACAGACAGACAGACAGACAGACAGACAGACAGACAGACAGACAGACAGACAGACAGACACAGAGACAGACAGACAGACAGACACAGAGAGAGACAGACAGACAGACAGACAGACAGACAGACAGACACAGAGAGAGACAGACAGACACAGAGAGAGACAGACAGACACAGAGAGAGACAGACAGACAGACAGACAGACACAGAGAGAGACAGACAGACAGACACAGAGAGAGACAGACAGACAGACACAGAGAGAGACAGACAGACAGACACAGAGAGAGACAGACAGACAGACAGACACAGAGAGAGACAGACAGACAGACACAGAGAGAGACAGACAGACAGACACAGAGAGAGACAGACAGAGAGAGAGACAGACAGACACAGAGAGAGACAGACAGACAGACACAGAGAGAGAGACACAGAGAGAGAGAGAGCCAAAGGGCCTCTGCTCACTCAGACAAACAACTGGCAGCCCAGGCTAGTGAGAGAGCTTCCAAACAAACATTTAGTCTCTACAACACTTGGCTCAGACTACTGAGAAAGTACCACATAAATAACTCTAGTCTACAACGTTGTACTCTACTGACAAATGCTACAGATGCTGAGCAAGCCTCCAAATAACCAGCAGTAGTAAATAACACTGTAGAGTTGTTTTTGTTGAACTAATGCTTGAGATTGCATGCCGTGTGGTATTTGGTTACCATGCCCTGTAAGATGGTCCAGATATTTCTGGTGTGTTCGGGGTGCCTGCTGCCTTATTAGCTATTAGTGGAAGACTAGAAGGCCCCCTGCCAGGGATCATTAAAATGAAATATTGCCATTACACAAACATTTTCTGTAACCCAAACCATGGGCACCTGCGCTCTCATATGACACCGCAGCGAAGACGGTCATAGTGAAACCTCTGTGGCCAGTGTTCATGACTGCACCACATAGGCAATGTTAAACACCGTCTGGGTTTGAGGCCCTTATCTCAGCCGCTCCCACAGTTTGAGCGATAGCCATGTGGTTTTAGCGTAAATTAATGTAAAACCCCCAGCTGCCCCCCTCCTCTCCCCGTCCACCCGTCCGCCTATGCTTCGCCACATGATGGTCTGGGTGGCCTCCCCCATGAGTGACCCAGTTGTGAGGCGTGCTGCTCGCGAGGTCTCTTAGCCCGTGTCTGAGCCCAGATTAATGACTGCTGATGATCCTGTGTCCCTCGCCCTGCCCCCTCTCCTCTCCCTGCTCCCCCTCTCCCTTTGCACCCTCAGCTCTATGTGGTAACCTAGTCCTAGCTCTCCAACCCACCCACTCGTCCAACCCAACCGCAAGACCCCTCTACTAATCCTCTACTACCTGTACATCAGGGCCTGGCCCTAACCCTAGTTTGGAACTCGGTAGTGAGTGTTGCGACTGAGGACAGACGATTTTTACGTGCTTCAGCACTCAGCGGTTCTGTGAGCTTGTGTGGCCTACCACTTTGCGGCTGAGCCGTTGTTGCTCCTAGACGTTTCCACTTCACAATAACAGCACTTACAGTTGACCGGGGCAGCTCTAGCAGGGCAGAAATTTGACGAACTGACTTCTTGGAAAGGTGGCATCCTATGACGGTGCCATGTTGAAATTCACTGAGCTCTTCAGTAAGGCCATTCTACTGCCAATGTTTGTCTGTGGAGATTACATGGATGTGTGCTCGATTTTATACACCTGTCAGCAACGGGTGTGGCTGAAATAGCCAAATCCACTAATTTGAAGGGTTGTCCACATACTTTTTTTAAAACTACATACATACATACATACATACATACATACATACATACATACAGTGCATTCGGAAAGTATTCCGACCCCTTGACTTTTTCCACATTTTGTTACGTTACAGTCTTATTCTAAAATGGATTAAATTGGTATTTTTCCTCATCAATCTACACACAATACCCCATAATGTTAAACCAAAAAACTGTTTTTTTTTGTGTGTGCTCATTTATATTTTTTAAAACCCCATGAAATATCACATTTGCATAAGTATTCAGACCCTTTACTCAGTACTTTGTTGAAGCACCTTTGGCAGCGATTACAGCCTTGAGTCGTCTTGCGTATGACGCTACAAGCTTGGCACACCTGTATATGGGGAGTTTCTCTCATTCTTCTCTGCAGATCCTCTCAAGCTCTGTCAGGTTGGATGGGTATGGTCGCTGCGCAGCTATTATCAGGTCTCTCCAGAGATGTTCGATCGGGTTCAAGTACGGGCTCTGGCTGGGCCACTCAAGGACATTGATACTTGTCCCAAAGGCACTCCTGCGTTGTTTACATTTGACATTTTAGTAATTTAGCAGACGCTCTTATCCAGAGCGACTTACAGTTAGTGAGTGCATACATTTTTTTTTTTCATACTAGCCTCCCGTGGGAATCGAACCCACAACCCTGGCGTTGCAAGCGTCATGCTCTACCAACTGAGCTACACGGGTTGTCTTGGCTGTGTGCTTAGGGTCGTTGTCTTGTTGGAAAGTGAGCCTTCACCTCAGTCTGAGGTCCTGAGCGCTCTGAAGCAGGTTTTCATCAAGGATCTCTCAGTACTTTGCTCCGTTCATCTTTCCCTAGATCCTGACTGGTCTCCCAGTCCCTGACGCTGAAAAACATCCCCACAGCATGATGCTGCCACCACCATGTTTCACCGTAGGGATGGTGCCCTTTTTCCTCCAAACATAACGATGGTCATTATGGCCAAACAGTTCTATTTTTGTTTCATCAGACCAGAGGACATTTCTCCAAAAAGTATGATCTTTGTCCCCATGTGCAGTTGCAAACCATAGTCTGGCTTTTTTATGACGGTTTTGGAGCAGTGGCTTCTTCCTTGCTGAGCAGCCTTTCAGGTTAGGTCGATATAGGACTTGTTTTACTGTGGATATAGATACTTTTGTACCCGTTTCCTCCAGTATCTTCACAAGTTCCTTTGCTGTTGTTCTGGGATTGATTTGCACTTTTCGCACCAAAGTACGTTCATCTCTAGGAGACAGAACGCGTCTCCTTCCTGAGCGGTATGGCGGCTGCGTGGTCCCATGGTGTTTATACTTGTGTACTATTGTTTGTACAGATGAACGTGGTACCTTCAGGCGTTTGGAAATTGCTCCCAAGGATCAACCAGACTTGTGGAGGTCTACAATTTATTTTTCTGAGGTCTTGGCTGATTTCTTTTGATTTTCCCATGATGTCGAGTAAAGAGGCCCTGAGTTTGAAACAGGTACACCTCCAATTGACTCAAATGATGTCAATTAGCCTATCAGAAGCTTCTAAAGCCATGTCATCATTTTCTGGAATTTTCCAAGCTGTTTAAAGGCACAGTCAACTTAGTGTATGTAAACTTCTGACACACTGGAATTGTGATACAGTGAATTATAAGTGAAATAATCTGTCTGTAAACAATTGTTGGGAAATTACTTGTGTCATGCACAAAGTAGATGTCCTAACCGACTTGCCAAAAGTATAGTTTGTTAACAAGAAATTTGTGGAGTGGTTGAAAAACTACTTTTAATGACTCCAACCTAAGTGTATGTAAACTTCTGACTTCAACTGTATATTATATATACAGTGAGGGGAAAAAGGTATTTGATCCCCTGCTGATTTTGTACGTTTGCCCACTGACAAAGACATGATCAGTCTATAATTTTAATGGTAGGTTTATTTGAACAGTGAGAGACAGAATAACAACAACAAAATCCAGAAAACGGCATGTCAAAAATGTTATTAATTGATTTGCATTTTAATGAGGGAAATACGTATTTGACCCCTCTGCAAAACATGACTTAGTACTTGGTGGCAAAACCCTTGTTGGCAATCACAGAGGTCAGATGTTTCTTGTAGTTGGCCACCAGGTTTGCACACATCTCAGGAGGGATTTTGTTCCACTCCTCTTTGCAGATCTTCTCCAAGTCATTAAGGTTTCGAGGCTGATGTTTGGCAACTCGAACCTTCAGCTCCCTCCACAGATTTTCTATGGGATTAAGATCTGGAGACTGGCTAGGCCACTCCAGGACCTTAATGTGCTTCTTCTTGAGCCACTCCTTTGTTGCCTTGGTCGTGTGTTTTGGGTCATTGTCATGCTGGAATACCCATCCACAACCCATTTTCAATGCCCTGGCTGAGGGAAGGAGGTTCTCACCCAATATTTGACGGTACATGGCCCCGTCCATCGTCCCTTTGATGCGGTGAAGTTGTCCTGTCCCCTTAGCAGAAAAACACCCCCAAAGCATAATGTTTCCACCTCCATGTTTGACGGTGGGGATGGTGTTCTTGGGGTCATAGGCACCATTCCTCCTCCTCCAAACACGGCGAGTTGAGTTGATGCCAAATAGCTCAATTTTGGTCTCACCTGACCACAACATTTTCAGCCAGTTCTCCTCTGAATCATTCAGATGTTCATTGGCAAACTTCAGACGGCCCTGTATATGTGCTTTCTTGAGCAGGGGGACCTTGCGGGCGCTGCAGGATTTCAGTCCTTCACGGTGTAGTGTGTTACCAATTGTTTTCTTGGTGACTATGGTCCCAGCTGCCTTGAGATCATTGACAAGATCTTGCCGTGTAGTTCTGTGCAGCATTCCTCACCGTTCTCATGATCATTGCAACTCCACGAGGTGAGATCTTGCATGGAGCCCAAGGCCGAGGGAGATTGACAGTTATTTTGTGTTTCTTCCTATGTCTTCTTTCTATTTGACCCCCCTTTAAGAGTGTGCTCCTAATCTCAGCTCGTTACCTGTATAAAAGACACCTGGGAGCAAGAAATCTTTCTGATTGAGAGGGGGTCAAATACTTATTTCCCTAATTAAAATGCAAATAAATTTATAACATTTTTGACATGCGTTTTTCTTGATTTTGTTGTTGTTATTGTGTCTCACTTTTCAAATAAACCTACCATTAAAATTATAGACTGATAATTTTTTTGTCAGTGGGCAAATGTACAAAATCAGCAGGGGATCAAATACTTTTTTCCCTCACTGTATATACACACATTATTTATTTACATACATACATATACATACATACATACATACATACATACATACATACATACATACATACATACATACATATATACACATACACACAACTTGTTTCAAAAAATTCTGTGTATGTGTGTAATGTGTGTGTGTGTATGTATATATATATATATATAGATATGTGTGTATATATGTATGTATGTGTGTGTGTGTGTGTGTGTGTGTGTGTGTGTGTGTATATATATATGTGTATTCAGTGAGGGAAAAAAGTATTTGATCCCCTGCTGATTTTGTACATTTGCCCACTGACAAAGACATGATCAGTCTATAATTTTAATGGTAGGTTTATTTGAACAGTGAGAGACAGAATAACAACAACAAAAATCCAGAAAAACGCATGTCAAAAATGTTATAAATTGATTCGCATTTTAATGAGGGAAATAAGTATTTGACCCCCTCTCAATCAGAAAGATTTCTGGCTCCCAGGTGTCTTTTATACAGGTAACGAGCTGAGATTAGGAGCACACTCTTAAAGGGAGTGCTCCTAATCTCAGTTTGTTACCTGTATAAAACACACCTGTCCACAGAAGCAATCAATCAGATTCCAAACTCTCCACCATGGCCAAGACCAAAGAGCTCTCCAAGGATGTCAGGGACAAGAATGTAGACCTACACAAGGCTGGAATGGACTACAAGACCATCGCCAAGCAGCTTGGTGAGAAGGTGACAACAGTTGGTGCGATTATTCGCAAATGGAAGAAACACAAAAGAACTGTCAATCTCCCTCGGCCTGGGGCTCCATGCAAGATCTCACCTCGTGGAGTTGCAATGATCATGAGAACGGTGAGGAATCAGCCCAGAACTACACGGGAGGATCTTGTCAATGATCTCAAGGCAGCTGGGACCATAGTCACCAAGAAAACAATTGGCAACACACTATGCCGTGAAGGACTGAAATCCTGCAGCGCCCGCAAGGTCCCCCTGCTCAAGAAAGCACATACAGTGAGGGAAAAAAGTATTTGATCCCCTGCTGATTTTGTACGTTTGCCCACTGACAAAGAAATGATCAGTCTATAATTTTAATGGTAGGTTTATTTGAACAGTGAGAGACAGAATAACAACAAAAAAATCCAGAAAAACGCATGTCAAAAATGTTATAAATTGATTTGCATTTTAATGAGAGAAATAAGTATTTGACCCCTCTGCTAAACATGACTTAGTACTTGGTGGCAAAACCCTTGTTGGCAATCACAGAGGTCAGACGTCTCTTGTAGTTGGCCACCAGGTTTGCACACATCTCAGGAGGGATTTTTGCCTTGGCCGTGTGTTTTGGGTCATTGTCATGCTGGAATACCCATCCACAACCCATTTTCAATGCCCTGGCTGAGGGAAGGAGGTTCTCACCCAAGATTTGACGGTACATGGCCCCGTCCATCGTCCCTTTGATGCGGTGAAGTTGTCCTGTCCCCTTAGCAGAAAAACACCCCCAAAGCATAATATTTCCACCTCCATGTTTGACGGTGGGGATGGTGTTCTTGGGGTCATAGGCATCATTCCTCCTCCTCCAAACACGGCGAGTTGAGTTGATGCCAAAGAGCTCCATTTTGGTCTCATCTGACCACAACACTTTCACCCAGTTCTCCTCTGAATCATTCAGATGTTCATTGGCAACTTCAGACGGCCCTGTATATGTGCTTTCTTGAGCAGGGGGACCTTGCGGGCGCTGCAGGATTTCAGTCCTTCACGGCGTAGTGTGTTACCAATTGTTTTCTTGGTGACTATGGTCCCAGCTGCCTTGAGATCATTGACAAGATCCTCCCGTGTAGTTCTGGGCTGATTCCTCACCGTTCTCATGATCATTGCCAGTCCACGAGGTGAGATCTTGCATGGAGCCCCAGGCCGAGGGATATTGACAGTTAATAATAATAATAATAACACAGTTATTTTGTGTTTCTTCCATTTGCGAATAATCGCACCAACTGTTGTCACCTTCTCACCAAGCTGCTTGGCGATGGTCTTGTAGCCCATTCCAGCCTTGTGTAGGTCTACAATCTTGTCCCTGACATCCTTGGAGAGCTCTTTGGTCTTGGCCATGGTGGAGAGTTTGGAATCTGATTGATTGATTGCTTCTGTGGACAGGTGTCTTTTATACAGGTAACAAGCTGAGATTAGGAGCACTCCCTTTAAGAGTGTGCTCCTAATCTCAGCTCATTACCTGTATAAAAGACACCTGGGAGCCAGAAATCTTTCTGATTGAGAGGGGTTCAAATACTTATTTCCCTCATTAAAATGCGAATCAATTTATAACATTTTTGACATGCGTTTTTCTGGATTTTTTTGTTGTTATTCTGTCTCTCACTGTTCAAATAAACCTGCCATTAAAATTATAGACTGATCATTTCTTTGTCAGTGGGCAAACGTACAAAATCAGCAGGGGATCAAATACTTTTTTCCCTCACTGTATACAGGCCCGTCTGAAGTTTGCCAATGAACATCTGAATGATTCAGAGGAGAACTGGGTGAAAGTGTTGTGGTCAGATGAGACCAAAATTGAGCTCTTTGGCATCAACTCAGCTCGCCGTGTTTGGAGGAGGAGGAATGCTGCCTATGACCCCGAGAACACCATCCCCACCGTCAAACATGGTGGTGGAAACATCATGCTTTGGGGGTGTTTTTCTGCTAAGGGGACAGGACAACTTCACCGCATCAAAGGGACGATGGACGGGGCCATGTACTGTCAAATCTTGGGTGAGAACCTCCTTCCCTCAGCCAGGGCATTGAAAATGGGTCGTGGATGGGTATTTCAGCATGACAATGACCCAAAACACACGGCCAAGGCATCAAAGGAGTGGCTCAAGAAGCAGCACATTAAGGTCCTGGAGTGGCCTAGCCAGTCTCCAGACCTTAATCCCATAGAAAATCTGTGGAGGGAGCTGAAGGTTCGAGTTGCCAAACGTCAGCCTCGAAACCTTAATGACTTGGAGAAGATCTGCAAAGAGGAGTGGGACAAAATCCCTCCTGAGATGTGTGCAAACCTGGTGGCCAACTACAAGAAACGTCTGACCTCTGTGATTGCCAACAAGGGTTTTGCCACCAAGTACTAAGTCATGTTTTGCAGAGGGGTCAAATACTTATTTCCCTCATTAAAATGCAAATCAATTCATAACATTTTTTACATGTGTTTTTCTGGATTTTTTTGTTGTTATTCTGTCTCTCACTGTTCAAATAAACCTACCATTAAAATTATAGACTGATCATGTCTTTGTCAGTGGGCAAACGTGATCCCCTGCTGATTTTGTACGTTTGCCCACTGACAAAGACATGATCAGTCTATAATTTTAATGGTAGGTTTATTTGACTAAACCAAAACGTACACTCTTTGCGGTCCCAAGGACCAAGTTTGGGAAACGCTATACTGTGTGTGTGTGTGTGTGTATATTTATGTATTCTATAGACCAGCGTTTCCCAAACTTGGTCCTTGGGACCGCAAAGAGTGTACGTTTTGGTTTAGTTGTTTATTTGAATCAGCTGTGTTAGTGCTAGGGCAAAAACCAAAACTTGCACCCCATGGGGTCCTGAGGACAGAGTTTGGGAAACCCTGTTCTAGACCTACAGTGGTTATATTATTAATAAAGAGAAAATATCCTCTACAAGTTGATATGAATCTGTTTTCTACTAGGCCCGTTCTATTTTCATATTACATCACATGTTTTGCAAATGCTCACACACAGTCATAACCTGAATTACATTAAACCCCCATTAGTGAGGATTTTCCACAGAAATCCTCATTCTTTCTTCTTAAGAGCACAATTATCATTGTTTCATTCCCCCACACATCTATCTAGAGCAGAGGATTCGCTCAACATTGTTTCCCCTGAAAGACAAACCTAAAGCCTATTGTTATATGAAGCCATCTCCGGCCTGTTCTCTCAAATTAACTGTGATGGTAGTAAAGCCCCTATTCCCACACACTGACTCCCCTGGCCATATCATGCTTTGTTTAAGTCATTTAGATTACCTTATTCTGTCCCCCACCCCAGCCTTATCTCTTTGCCTATTTCATAAATCATCAGTGCCTTAATTCCCCCCCCCTCTTTGCCCCGCCCCCTCCTCATTGCAACCCCTCTCTCTCCCCATGCATCCCTCTCTCTCTTTCTCTCTCTCGCTGACTGGCTCCCAGCCCCCACCTCTCTCAGCCCTCTCCCTCTCCTTGCCTCTGCTCTCCTCAGCCCAGCTGCCTGTGGAGTTGGACCGGGTCCAGGAACAGGCAGATGGCTCTGTAATTAGAAGTGCATCTCTCCATTCCCTTTCCACTTCTCCCTGTTAAATCAAATTACAGAAAAAAATCTGTTTTCTGGTTTAGCATTCTTTGCAGCATAGCCTCTCCCTCTCTCTTCTCTCTCTCGTCCCTCTTTCTCCTCGTACGTGCCAGAAAGCGTGAGTGATGGGTTATAGTGTCAGGAAGCGGGGATCTTTGTGTCTGTATGAATTTTAGGGGAGTGATTCAACGTTTCCGACACATGCGGAAAAAAGGCTTGGAATGGCTTGCCATTTTCAATGTACTATTCATTGTGGTTCGGAATAACTTGAATGGACCATTGAAAGGCCATTTAACAAAATTGCTTTTAGAGTATTCAAACCCATGGTTGGGTCATGGACCCATATCACCCCTAATTAAATAAATACAAATTCAATACATGCATATTATCTATGCCTCTTCAGTTCAAACCCACGGTCTTGGTACTATAGAAATCGGAGAAACTATTAAATGTGAGTCCCTTGCTTATTTGAGGTCATGGGCTGGACAGTGTGGGTGCATGCTTGTTTGTGTGTATCTCAGTGTGTGAGCTGCCGGTGAAAGGCTAGCTCGAGGGAGGAGCTACAGGCACTAACCCTGCTATGTCACTGGGCTCCTGGGAGAGAGGAAGTGCTGGCTGTGCTGTGGGATTGGAACCGTCGCTGTGCCCAGCATGGCATGGCCACTGTGCTGCTCTCGCACACAGCACAGGCAGGGGGGGCATGCCAGCCTCACCCTCGCCACCTCCTGGCTGCTTAGTGCAACAACTGTTAGCTACAGGTTAACACCATTGAGTATTGGCAGTTGTGCATTTGTTGTTATCTTGGCAATAGTGATACCTGGCGATTTTAGATGTAAGGCGCAGACACCTTTATTTTAGGGGAGGCTAAATGTAGGTATATATCATGGCACAAGTGTGTGGTGTGTGTTGTTGAAATTACGCCTAATGTCAACTGTGTTTGACCCATTAGGTGTACGCCTCTTCCTCCGGGGATGAGTATGCCCGTGACAACGGAGGATATCCTGGCACCAAACCTGGCTCTGTCTACCCAGGCTCTTTCTACATGCAAGGTAATTACGGTAACCACTTAAGCACGTTCATAAACTGTCACTGGAGTGATGACACTGTTTAACCTCTTTGTTAAGTTAATGATTTAAGGTAAATGAAAATGTGTTTTGAGTTCAAATGCACTGGAGTTAGTCATGTTTGATTGAGTAAGTCCATTGCCTAACACTGTTGTTGTTGACAGAGGGCCTCCACCCCTCCTCTGACCCCTGGGCCTCCTCAGGACCTTTGGGTCAGTCTGGCTACTCTGCCATGCTGGGGAACTCTCCCCACATCGGCCAGCCCGGCTCCTTCTCTGCCATCAACCCACAGGACAGGATGGTGAGGACAGCCCCACAATATGTAATTTTTCATATAATTTACATTCAATTAACTGTTGTATTAAATTCTGTGTTCTGTTTAATGCTATTTCTCCTCTATGACGAATCCAACTTCCATGCAAGTTGCTCTAACCGAAGCTGTTCTGTCTTCCCTTCAGAAGCGTCAACCCCTGCCTCTGTCCCCACAGAACTACCCTCTCCACGGCAGCGAGGTGAATGGCAGCCTCCCGCCCGGCTTCCACTCTGGCTCTGGGAGCTATAACCACGGAGCAGACGGCATCATGGGTACAATAAAGGCTCACATGACAACCGCTCATTTTGTTAACCAATTACCTTGTCCTTCTCCTGTGAAAGATGTTGTGTTGCCCCTCGGTTTAACAATGTCTTTAAAGCGGTCTCACTAGCTTATTGGAGACCTTTATATAGTAGTCGCTGCCTTGTAATAATGTGCGAGATTAATAAGCTGTCCTTTCTCCACAGCCAATAGAGGCACCACTGCAGGGAGCTCAGGAGATGAGATTGGGAAGGCTCTTGCATCAGTGAGTAATCCTCTCAAAAAACATCCTACAGACTTTTTGATTTGAACTGCATTGTTCTGTCAGTGTGCTGCTGTTCACTGTCTAAAGACACTGTCTTTATCCTGTGTGGTTTAGATCTACCCCTCGGACCACAACAGTAACAACTTCTCCTCCACATCCTCCACCCCAGTAGGCTCGCCCCAGGGAATTGCAGGTGTGCATACTGGATTATATCTGCTGCATCTGGTATCTTGTATTAGTAAAGGGCTTGACTGGATCTCTGGAGCCCTGAAAATGGTTCTGGAGCGCCATCTACTGTTGGAAATCAGAGCTGTCATTTTTCAGGATTTTCTGTGTAAATATGGCATCTCATCTATTTTCTCTCTGCAGGAGCTGCATCTCAATGGCCAAGACCTTCAGGGCAGTCTGCCCTGTCACCCAACTACGAAGGGCAATTGCATGCCCTGGTATGCCCTCTTCGCTACAAATAATTCTAAAATCTATTATTTGATGTGATCGTATTATAATCAACATAGTGACTGAGATTTGCCCTGTACATCTGTGTCTCCTTGCAGCAGAACAAAATGGAGGACCGTCTGGAGGAGGCCATCCACGTGCTGCGTAGCCACGCTGTCCAGGGCCCGCCCGGCCTGGGGGGAGGAGCCCACTCTGACATGCACAGCCTGCTGAGCGCTGTGTCCTCTGTACACAACGGTGGCCTGGGAGGTCTATCTCAGGCCTTCTCCAACGCTGGCTTGGCCCTCAGCAACAGACACCCTACCATGGTGAGCACGCCTTCTGACCTCTGGTTCCAAGACAAAAGCCCCCTGTTGTCTTACATTACCGAGATTATGATGATGATTTTATTGAACAGATTTAATCAAGCTTTTGTCATCGCGTTGTTGTTGTGTTTGACGTTTATGTTTTGTTACCATTCTCCAGGGAGGGAACCACCAGGAGGAGCCCACAGGCCTTCCTCCCAGCAATACCCTGCTGCACGGTCACCACGCCTCCGGACCCCCTCAGTCCACTGGACAACCAGAGGGCTTCACCAGTGAGTCACACACTTCTCTCTCACACACTCTGATTCGCTACTCATCCCCCACATGACCTGTGACCTTTACTCCTGTTCCCTGATGTAATGTATCAAACATGGCAAACCGATAAGATAATGGACTACTTAATTGTTCTCTAAATCGGACATACTGAAGGTGTGTTTCTGTGCTGTTCCACAGGTCTGCCCGGAAGCGTGGCCCGCTCCACACACTCGTCCAGCGGCTCGGACATCAAGAGGGAGGACAAGGAGGACGACGAGAACTCCTCCATCGCTGACAAGTCTGAGGACGAGAAGAAAGAAACCAAACGCATTAGAGCAAGGTAGGTAATCACCAACGGTCTCCATCTCACCCCGACTATTGACACTGGCAACTGGCATAGAGAATGTATGCCTGTGTACAGTCGTGGTCAAAAGTTTTGAGAATGACACAAATACTGATTTTCACAAAGTCTGCTGCCTCAGTTTTGATGATGGCAATTTGCATATACTCCAGAATGTCATGAAGAGTGATCAGATTAATTGCAATGAATTGCAAAGTCCCTCTTTGCCATGAAAATGAACTTAATCCCCCAAAAACATTTCCACTGCATTTCAGCCCTGCCACAAAAGGACCAGCTGCCATCATGTCAGTGATTCTCTCGTTAACACAGGTGAGAGTGTTGACGAGGACAATGCTGAGATCACTCTGTCATGCTGATTGAGTTAGAATAACAGACTGGAAGCTTTAAAAGGAGGGTGGTGCTTGAAATCATTGTTCTTCCTCCGTTAACCATGGTTACCTGCAAGGAAACATGTGCCGTCATCATTGCTTTGCACAAAAAGGGCTTCACAGGCAAGGATATTGCTGCTAGTAAGATTGCACCTACATTAACCATTTATCGGATCATGGAGAACTTCAAGGAGAGAGGTTCAATTGTTGTGAAGAAGGCGTCAGGGCGCCCAAGAAAGTCCAGCAAGCGCCAGGACCGTCTCCTAAAGTTGATTCAGCTGCGGGATCGGGGCACCACCAGTGCAAAGCTTGCTCAGGAATGGCAGCAGGCAGGTGTGAGTGCATCTGCACGCACAGTGAGGCAAATACTTTTGGAAGATGGCCTGGTGTCAAGAAGGGCAGCAAAGAAGCCACTTCTCTCCAGGAAAAACATCAGGGACAGACTGATATTCTGAAAAGGGTACAGGGATTGGACTTCTGAAGACTGGGGTAAAGTCATTTTCTCTGATGAATCCCCTTTCCGATTGTTTGGGGCATCCGGAAAACACCTTGTCCGGAGAAGACAAGGTGAGCGCTACCATCAGTCCTGTGTCATGCGGCCATTCATGTTTGGGGTTGCTTCTCAGCCAAGGGAGTGGGCTCACTCACAATTTTGCCTAAGGACACAGCCATGAATAAAGAATAGTACCAACACATCCTCCGAGAGCAACTTCTCCCAACCATCCAAGAACATAACTTTTCCAGCATGATGGAGCACCTTGCCATAAGGCGAAAGTGATATCTAAGTGGCTCGGGGAACAAAACATTGAAATGTTGGGTCCATGGCCAGGAAACTCCCCAGACCTTAATCCCATTGAGAACTTGTGGTCAATCCTCAAGAGGCGGGTGGACAAACAAAAACCCACAAATTCTGACAGACTCCAAGCATTGATTATGCAAGAATGGGCTGCCATCAGTCAGGATGTGGCCCAGAAGTTAATTGACAGCATGCCAGGGCGGATTGCAGGTCTTGAAAAAGAAGGGTCAACGCTGCAAATATTGACTCTTTGCATAAACTTGATGTAATTGTCAATAAAAGCCTTTGACACTTATGGAATGCTTGTAATTATACTTCAGTATACCATAGTAACATCTGACAAAAATATCTCATAACACTGAAGCAGCGAACTTTGTGAAGACCAATACTTGTCATTCTCAAAACTTTTGACCACAACTGTATTACATTTTCTTGATGAACATACTGTAGACTATTTTATCCCACATAGGTGGAAATGTTGTTAAAGTCTGTTAGCGAAAGAAATACGAGGAGGAACGCATGACATTAGCCCCCATCTATATGCACAATTTCAACTGCTAGTTAGCTGTGTTAGTTGAGTTGGTCACTAATTGAATTTGTAGCTAGTTGTGTAATGCCCTCCCCTCATGTCCCATTGTTTTCAGAAAGGAGGCGTTGACCCTCCAGATCCTCTCTGGCCTCTCAGGCCTGTCAGACCCGGGAGATGAGTAAGTCTCTCCATCCATAGGCCATAGTGCTTTGTGTGCTGAAAGCACACAATTGGGGAGCCAATACTGTATATCAAAGTCCACCGTTCTGCAAAGCTGAGCACTTACATTTTCATTTGGTTTGATGGTAATAGACATAGAAGTTGGAAACAAAGCGACATTGAAGAGCATAATGGTAAAAGTTAACATTTCCAACCCATGTGGGATAAGTCATTATTGTTTTGTCTTTTTACCAAATATTCTTATAATGGGTTTCACTGCAATTGGTAACTTATTTTCCTAGTCTTGAGTAAATTAGATGTTTCTATTCGGATCGATTGTATGACTATTAACAATGTATCTGGAGCTTCCTTTTAATACCTTTACTTTCAGAACTACATAACTTCCTGGTGCTACCCAGGATTCTTTTAGAATGACAGCTAAATGCTTAGGCGTCTATGCTTCACATGTTTTGCTGAGGTGCAGCTGGCACATGCGGCCCAACTCTTTGAAAGTCTAGTTGCTTGGTTTGTGAGTGCCGTCCTCCCGTGGCTTCATTCCTCTCCGTGTCTTCCGCCTTCTAGTCCAGAGGATGAGGATGACGAGGACCTTCCTCCTGAGGTAAAGGTAGAGCGTGAGAAAGAGCGACGAGTGGCCAACAACGCCCGTGAGCGGCTGCGAGTGCGAGACATCAACGAGGCTTTCAAGGAGCTGGGCCGCATGTGCCAGCTGCACCTCAGCAACGACAAACCTCAGACCAAACTGCTCATCCTGCATCAAGCCGTCAACGTCATTCTCAACCTGGAGCAGCAAGTCCGAGGTAACGCAGGGCTACTGTGGCCATATCTCTTTGTATTGTCACTTTTTACATGTTGACCTCTGTATTACTTTGTCCCCTGTGTATATTCCTTCCTCAGTGGACCATCGAGAACCAAACCGAACATTTCACCCAGCTATTCTTCACACCAGAAAAATCTGTTTTATGTGTCTTTTTAATAAAGGATGACATTTGTATAGCACAGTGGAAGGTTGGATAAATAACTTGCATGCAATGTAAACTCATATTCCCTCCTATCCCCTCGTCAGAACGCAACCTGAACCCTAAAGCAGCATGTCTGAAGCGGCGGGAGGAGGAGAAAGTGTCTGGGGTGGCAGGGGAGTCCCCCATGCGGCTCTCAGGAGGCCACCCCGGCATGGGGGGAGATGGCCATAACCCAGTCAGCCATATGTAATACTAGGTACGTATCTCTTCATCCATATTTCATCTCTGTCAATAATTGTAGTACTTTTGAGTTGATCATTTCACTCAAATTCAAGTTTAGAAGACTGACAATGTTGTATTGTCCTTTGCAGATCTGGTGGAATTCCCTTGGCTCTCGGAAGATGTGGCCTTGAGCTCTTCTTCCACCCATTCTTCTCAGTGTGTACATATACTGATGTGTCTGTGTATTGTCAAATTCAGTTTCAAGACGCACATTCACACACCCTTATCCACACATGCAAACTGCCAAAACTGACACAGCCAATTTGCCGCACTCCTGACCATGACTACCAGCGCAAATGTGAAGAACCTTTTACTTTTTTTTAATACATATATTTTTTGCTTCCGTAACATGATGGATCACCAGAGTACTAGTGTCCGGCCACAAATGGGACTTAATACACTGCCGAGAGGTGCTCTGTGAAAGACAGAAGCCTAACAAACTACAAATGTACTAAAGGATTTGTGCCTGATTGTTACATGTTTTATGAGACATTTAACCAAATGTACGGAACGTTTTGTTTAGGGGTTGCTTGTATGTATGAGCAAGTGTAGATTTGTCATTCCCAACTTAATGGTACAGTCTTACATATGTTATGTAACCAAATCCATGTGATAGAGAGGGCAGTTGACCTACATCGGGGGACAGAGTTGCAGTCCCACCCCAGCTCTGTGGGCCCTGGGCCCAGCATGAGACGAGGCAGAAGGGAGAGGAACCTCACCTTCCTAGTTGTCATGTTCTCAGGGTTGTAGAAAAATTATTCTCCAAGGCTATTCTTCCCATCCATAAACAAAATAATGGTATTTCAGACTCCAGTATTGTTCCAGTATCCCCTCGGTGTAGGTTAATTGGGAGCCGCCGGTTTACCTGGCCAGGGGTAGAAAAGCAGTTTTACAGCACAAAAGGAAGTCATTTTTCATCCTGCATCTCAACCCCACCCATTTGTTACTATTGATGCCATCAGAAACTAGAGAGAAGCTTTCTGAAAGCTTGTGGAGCTAACTAGCCACCCTGTTGAATCTAATCATGAGACTGGAGGCTTGGTTTGGAATACTCTGATGGGCATCTTATGGCCATATTGTGTAGTGCCACCCTCTGAGTTTCAAATCAATTTACCCTGTACTTATGCCCCCTAAGGACACCAAACTAAATTTGGTGCTTCGCCCCCTGCATTGTTATTCTTAAAAGACTAACACTAGGTGCCAATGTGCAGATTCAGGATCAACCATCGATACCCTTAAGATGTTATTTCATTCCATTAATACCAGACAAGCAATTTATTAGAAGTTCGGTTGTCTATTCTTAAAATGTAAGCTTTGAGCATTCCCAATGAACTACACTACATGGCCAAAAGTATGTGGCCACCTCTTAATTTGTGGATTTGGTTATTTCAGCCACACCCGTTGCTGACAGGTGTATAAAATCGAGCACACAGCCATGCAATTTTCATAGACGAACATTGGCAGTTGAATGGCCTTACTGAAAAGCTCAGTGACTTTCAACGTGGCACCGTCATAGGATGCCCCGTTTCCAACAAGTCAGTTCGTCAAATTTCTGCCATGCTAGAGCTGCCCCGGTCAACTATAAGTGCTGTTATTGTGAAGTGGAAACGTCTAGGAGCAACAACGGCTCAGCCGCCAAGTGGTAGGCCACACAAGCTCACAGAACGGGACCGCGTAGCAGGTAAAAAATCGTCTGTCCTCGGTTGCAACACTCACTACCGAGTTCCAAACTGCCTCTGGAAGCAACGTCGGCACAAGAACTGTTCGTTGGGAGCTTCATGAAATGGGTTTCCAAGGCCGAGCAGCCGGACACAAGCCTAAGATCACCATGTGCAATGCGAAGTGTCGGCTGGAGTGGTGTAAAGCTTGCCGCCATTGGACTCTGGAGCAGTGGAAACGCGTTCTCTGGAGTGATGAATCAAACTTCACCAATCTAGGTTTGACGGATGCCAGGAGAAAGCTACCTGCCCGAATGCATAGTGCCAAGTTTGGTGGAGGAGCAATAATGGTCTGGGGCTGTTTTTCATGGTTCGGGCTAGGCCCCTTAGTTCCAGTGAAGGGAAATCTTTACGCTACAGCATACAATGACATTCTAGACAATTCTGTGGTTCCAACTTTGCACAAAGCGAGGTCCATACAGAAATGATTTGTTGAGATCGGTGTGGATGAACTTGACTGGCCTGCACAGAGCCCTGACCTCAACCCCATCGAACACCAGGCCTAATCGCCCAACATCAGTGCCTGGCCTCACTAATGCTCTTGTGGCTGAATGGAAGTAAGTCCCCGCAGCAATGTTCCAACATCTGGTGGAAAGCCTTCCCAGAAGAGTGGAGGCTGTTATAGAAGCAAAGGGGGGACCAACTCCATATTAATGCCCATGATTTTGGAATGAGATGTTCGATAAGCTCTCGCCCTCTTGACTATATTATTAAAATGTCTACTTAATGAGACAATCTGATTTGTAAATCCACCTCATGCATACATGCATCTAAGGATATTGTTTCAAGTGGAGCAAAATGAAATAAATATATATTTGTTAGTCTATACATTGTAGATTTTTTAAATAAATGACAAGATTAGTTTGAAGTTTTAGAGTATCGTAGTTGAGCAGAATGAAGAGATAATATTAAATCTTAATGTATTTTTAAAATGAACTCAAATTGGACTGTCAGATTTGCCATTGGAGAGGAAAGCTTAACTTAAACAAGAACACAGGCTCAGAAAGAGAAACGAAGACAGAGATGGGGTCAGTTGTAGGCTTAATTATCATTATGTATTTAGTGGCTATTAAGCTGTCAGTCTTTGGTGCATCCATTTTTGATGAGATTGCAACATTTGACTAAGGGGTACAGTAGCCTAAAATTTTGTTATTGTTCCTGTTTTAAAAAATATATAGTAAGGAAGTGTTTTTGTCCATTACCCAGATTCATTATTTCTTTTCAAATGGGAAAGTGTGGATGGAATTTATGCCACTGACTGTCCTATTGAAGTGTTCTTACTGAATGGTCATGTGGCTTCACAAAGCAAAGTCTACGAAGACGGGCACTGTCTCGAACAGTAATTATGCAACTGGTTTAGAATGTAACATTCAAATGTGGATTGCCTTCATTTTCAAGTACATACCCAGGTTGTGTCTGCCGGTTCAATGTTATTATTTTCTCTTCATATCAAACGTTCCGTTCTACTCTATCGGCACTCTTCCATGTGGTCGTCAATGTGCAGCTAACGTGTCCTGACATGTTATTTTGGAGGCAGGAGTTTGTGTTTGGATGGTGTAAAAAAACAAGTGTTAATTCCTGTGGTAAGTTATTAGCATGGCCACAGACATGGTATAGCACCAACCTCTAACCACAGTGGCAGAAATGTACATTGTTACCTGTTGGTCATAGTATTGAGAAGGATTGAAGTTTACTTTGTAGAAAGAGAGGAAAAGAAAAATAGTTTCAAATCAACAGTGTGGCCTTTTCATTCTCAAGACTAAAGATGTCATTACTGGAGAGTGATGTCTTATCAGTGCCTGAACTTGTATTTTCATTAACTATAAAGACAGTTCTCTTTTAAACCATAACATTTCATGTATCGCCAAGATTAGAGGTATATCGGATGACCCACCCCACCCCCCCTTTTCACTTTTCAGGAAGAAGTTGAAAATTTGACAACATTTTTTATTTTATGTATCTAGTTGAATAAACGTTTAAACTTTATGTAGATCTCTTGTTAGTTTTTTAAATTTTTATTCAACTGGATTTGACCATTTGTCCAAACTACTGTTAAGTTGCGGCCGTAGGTTCATGTAATGGTTTTGTTTGTCTGTTTGCCCCCCTATTGATAAACCACTCGACACTACTTGGTTCTAAGAGATGATGGGTTCTTCCCTTGTGATCTGCTTTTCGAAGCACCTCAATGTCAATATATATGGCTTCAGCTTTGAAGTGGGGGGGTTGTGTTATTTTGAGCCATGACAACTGGAGCTTTTTGTCATTAGCAAAAACATTTCTGTGTAAAAGAGAGTAAGTCTTCTGCACCATTTCCTTTGCTTTGAGACCTATTTTTTATGATATCAAGCTCCTTATTGACTTTGACAGTGACTTATTGTAAGGGGTATTGATGTACCTCTTCAAAGAGTTGATTTGAAGATTTGTTTCTCTATTACAAGGTGAAATATGTGTAGGCCTACTATATATTGCGGATTTGTTCTGAGAAAAAAATTGACTGATCTGATATGTCATTGCGTATTCTGTGAACATCCCACAATGACAATGTACAACCTGTATTCTGAGTTGTTGGATAGGGGGAAAGATGGAGGGTCTTTTCTGTGTCTCTTGACCTGAATATTGACACAGGCCCTGTTTGAATACTTAGACGTGCATCCATCCATCCTCGCTTAATGACATGACTGGATAGTGTGAGGTGTCTTGTCAACCTGTTAAAATGTGTCATGAATATAACTTGATTTGATTTGTTATATGAAAGAACCTTGCTTTCACCTACCAAATTATTTCAGACCATAGATCAATTCAAGGAGGAGGGCGCTACTTTTTTAAAGTATTCAAACAGGGCCACTCACTCACTGCTACAGAGCCTGGCATATTACACTTGCAGCGAGGACACAATCAAGACTGAGCAGTGTTTTCAGAGTGCCTCCAGTCCCAGTCTTTGTTATTATAATGTTTTATATATAAAGTAGTTATTGAGAACTGTCCTGTATATAACAGTAATGTAGCAATAAATGTGCCATTTTTAATAACAGAATTATACCTTTTTCAATGTCTGGCTTTTTAATCTTGTATACATGAAAGGAAAATAAAGGAAAATATTGTAATAAAGGGTTTATCATAGCTTGGAAAATGAATGTCTCCTCTCAATGATCTCCCATTGGTGAGAAAGTATAGCCCACAAGTCCATAATGGTTGAATTTGGTCTTCAATGTGATGTCCCTTGAGCCCAGACAAAGATAGTGTTATTTAC